CTTGCAGGTATATCACCAGTGGTAGCTGGCCTCATTGGGGCCTCTCTGCTAGTGGTGTGCCTTGGTGACCATCTTTGTCTGGACATGCTGCCATCAACAGACAGAAAAAAAGCACAAGACCTCACCTTACAAGTTCATTTACATACTCAAATGCATCAGTGTATACCCAGAGACCCTCAGCAACAAGAAGAAAATGGTCAAAGTACAGAGAGACAAAGACAGTCCAGGAGGGAAGGTGGATGAGGTAATCTATTGGTGGACGCAGCAGAAGGAGGCTTGCTGGGCAGAGAAGAGTCCTAGACAGCCTAACTCTGGATCTTGTATACAGTAACTTCCCATTAAATCAGCCTATGGAGAAGATTGGTGTGACTTCTTGTTGCCAGAGAGAGCATGGTGGTGTGTGTGCAGGTATTATGGCAAGTTTTTGGAGTAGAGTCATTTTTCAGGCTTGTGTTTGATGTGCAGGACTGCTCCGCCCCCAGGAGCGAGGCAAGCCAGTCTTGGCCTAGGGTTTAAGGCAGGAGGGGGCTTTAAGCCCCAAAGGGTGAGGGGAGAGAAGTTGGCCATGTTCTTCCTGGTTGGCGCCTCCGAGGTTTCTGTGACTTCTTGCTGCCAGAGAGAGCATGGTGGTGAGTGTGCAGGTATTATGGCAAGTTTTGGAGCCGAGAGGACAGAAAGATATGCTACCAAGGCGGAGTTCGGTGATTTTAATCTGCGGCCCTCAGGCCAGGTTCAAATTGTTTTCCTGTCAAACATTCTTCTAGGTGGTATGGCACTGGTCTGTGCATTGCTGTACAGAGGTAACTCATGGTTGGTGTGATGCTGAACACTGGGACACTGATGTTGCCAAACGTGGTAACGGGTACCCATGGTAGAGAGTGTTTGCTGGAGCTTCCCAACTAAAACAAGCCTGGAAGCAGGAGTGGCATCCACTTCCAAAATGGCTTGCCTCCAGAAACTCTATGTATGAACAGTGCTCAGGCCTTTCGTTCATAGGGTTGCTATGAGTCATCTACAACTCAACAGCACCTAACAACAATGGAGAAGATCTGAGGAGCCCTATAGCAAGCCTGACCCCTGGGCGGGAGGGCAAAACCACTTTTCCATCATCTCCAGAAGAGGATGTCATGCTGGGATCCCTATCCTTCTCTACGCACTAGAACTTTCTGGAAAAAAACTCTAGTGGTGGCAAACCATGGACTGGCAGTGACAGATGACCAGACCCAGGGCTCTGACCCCTACATCAAAATGACCATCCCTCCTGACAAGCAGCACCAGGTGAAGACCAGAGTGCTTCAGAAGACCCTGGATCCTGTGTTTGATGAGATTTTCAGCTTCTATGGTATCCCATGCAGCCAGCTATAGGACCTGGTGCTGCACTTCCTCGTCTTCAGTTTTGACCATTTCTACCGGGATGATGTCATTGAGGAAGTCACTGTGCCCTTAGCTGGGGTGGATCCCAGCACAAGCAAAGTACTGCTGACCAGGAACATCATCAAGAGGAACATCCAGGTAAGGAGACAGACTGTTGGGGAGAGTAGGGTGGGGAAGACAATTCCATGGGAGGAGGAATGGAGAAAATTAGATGGGATGGTAATAGAAGCGTGCGAGAGAGGAAACTTAGCTATTGAGGGTAAGCAGGGGCAACAGAAAAAGAGACTCTAGCAGGTGAGGTCTCCTTGAAGAAGCCACTTCCTAAATCAAGGGTAGCAAGAAGCTTCTGCTTTGAAAATTTTACCTAGTAATTGGTATTCTGACACTATGTCCATCACGGTGTCTTGTTTGGAACATTCTGTCCCACGGCTCCTAGACCTTTCATTTCAGAGATACTAGAGCTTATCTCTCAAGAAATACATGTTCTACTTCCAGTGAACTTATTTCTCACTAAGAAACTGAAAACAGTTCAGTACTTTCCCCCTTGGCTTCTCTGTCCTATCCCAAACCTGTAAGTATAGTGTCATGTATATGCCATTTAATACATTTTACAAATGTAGTTTAGTCAATTGCTATAATCTTCTGTTATGTACCCAGGCCTGAATTTTGGCCCATGTACCCTCTTTCCTTTTCTCCTCTCTGCATTTGATGGGGGATAAAGCCCCCCCCCCCACTAACTTTCTGGTTTATTAACATTTATATGTCATTCTTTGTTGCAGTCACACACACACACACACCTGTGTTCCATAATATAAGACACTATGTTGTTAGGTGCCCTGGAGTCATCATAGCAAACCGATCAACAATGGATCTGAATCTTGTCCTGTCCTGTGCTATCTTCATCATCTCTCATACATTTGAGCCCACGGTTACAGTCACCATTTCAAACCTCTTTGAGGATCCCCCTTTCTTTGGCTGATCCTCCACTTTTCCAGCTTTCACTGAAAGTATGACCAGCAGTTCATCTTGAGCTGTAATTGAGAAGTACAAAAATATGTAACCCCACCCCAACTCCCTTCTTCATTCCTTCTAGAACTCGGGAAGTGCTATCAGACTGTGGTTAAACATTCAGACTTTTGGTTTAAACTGGGTCTACATTCTAGTTCACAACTTCCTAGCTATGTGAAATGGGGAGATACATACTTCTTTGCGGCTTTCTTTTCTCTTCTGTGAAATGAAAATTATAATATTACCTTATAGGTATCTGAATATCAAATGAGAAATTTGTTATGTGCCGTCGAAATGCTTGTGACTTATAGCAACCCTATATGTACCAGCCGTATACCCTGCTCTTTTCTGTACCAACCTTATTGTCTCTGACACACCTACCTCTATTACCCTAGTCGCTGAATCAATCCATCTCATCAAGAGTCTTTGTCTTTTGCCCTGTCCCTTCACCCTCCCAAGCATGACGTTCTTCTCCAAGGACTGGTCCCTCCTAGCAACATGTCCAAAGTATGTCAGACAAAGCTTCAGAATCCTTGCCTCCAAGGAGCAACCTGGTCTCACCCTCTCTAGAACCATCCTTTTTGTTCTCCTAGCAGTCCACAGTATATTCAATACTCTTCTCCAGCACCACAGTTCAAAGGCATAAATTATCATTCCATCATCCCTAGTCATTGTCCAGCTTTCTGATGCACAGCAAGTAACTGCAAAGACCATGGCCTGGATCAGGTACACCTTATTCTCCAGACTGACATCATTGCTCTTCAGTACTTTGGAAAGGTCTCTGACAGCAGAATTTCTCAATACAATTAATCTTTTAAGTTCCTGGCTGCTGGTACCAAGAGTGTTGTCTGTGGAGCTAAGCGAACTAAAGCTGTTAACAATCTCTATCTCTTGGGGAGCTCTGGTGGCCTAGTGGCAAGATGCTGCACTGCAATCCCAAAGGAATACGGTTCGAATCCACCAGATGCTCTGCCAGAGAAGGAGGCGCAATATCCTCCTGTACCAGTCAGATCTGATTTGATGGTACACGCACACAAAATAATAAAAAATTAAAAACAAACAAACAAACAAAAAAAACTCTATCTCTTGATGCTGCCGATCGGCCTAGTGGGGAGAAGCTTTGTTTTCTTGATGTTGAGCTTCAATCCATATTGAAGGCTGCATTCCTTGACCTTCTTCACCAAGCACTTCAGGTTCTCCTCAGTTTCAGCAAGCAGGATTGTGTCATCTGCTTAACACAGACTGTTGATTAGTCTTCCTCCAATTCTGATGCCATATTTCTCCTCATAGAGCTCAGCCTCTGGATAATCTGTTCTTCATATAGATTGAAAAGGTATGGAAATAGGATACATCCCTGGTGTACACCCTTCCCAATTGTGAACCATGCAGTGTCTCCTTGCTGTTATGATACTGTTTCCTGGTCCAAGTAAAGGTTTCACATAAGCACGATCAAGTGTTCTGGGATTCCCATTCTTCTCACATTAGCCACAGTTTGTTGTGATCCACACAGTCAAACCTCTTTATATAGTCATGTAACACAGATAAGACATTCATCTGGTACTCTCTGCTTTTAGCCAAGATCCACCTAACATTAGTTATATCTCTAGTGCTACGGCCTCTTTAAACCCAGCCTGTACATCTGTAGTTCTCTGTTAGTGTGCTGTTCCAGTAGTTTTTGACTAATTTTCAGCAGAATCTTGCTTGTGTGAGATGTTAATGATATTGTTCAATAATTTCCACACTCTGTCGAGTCTTTCTTTGGAATGCAAACAAATATAGATCTCTTCCAGTCAGTTGGCCAGGTAGTTGTCCTCCAGATTTCTTGGCACAACTTGGTGAGCACATCCAGGGAAGCATCTGTTTGTTGAAATATGTCAACAGATATGCAGTCAATTCCTGGGGCCTTGGTTTTTGGCAATTTTTCAGAGAAGTTTGAACTGCCACTTTTCCCAGAAGCTGGTGGGTCAAGGTCTGAGACCTTAAAATGCGAAATATATATGGGATAACTAGCCTTGAGGAATTTCATTCTACTTGAGGAGAAAGAGAAAAAACAACAACCCCTGGTATTGACTATATAGTTAGTGTAATGGGTGCTGTGAAATTGCTGAAATTTTATAACTGGAGTTTCATTCCTTGTGCAGGGGATAACATAAGTAGTTAATGGCAAGGATTTTGACAAAAACTTGAGTTTAAATTCTATCGCTAAGTGACTTTGGATAAGCTGTTTAACTTCTTCAAACCTTCATTTCTTATAAAAATTAAGTGAGATAAGTTCACATCATAAATTTCACAATAACAATAATTTATAACTGTTTAGAGCTCTATAAGATATAGGGATTTATATATATTTATATTTTGACTTTACACTTTACAAAGAGGTGGAAGACAGGAAGCCTGACCCAGGAAAGCAGCAGGCAGGAGGTTCAGAAAGGGCATCAGGTTTACAAAACATCAAATACACACATTTCAGAAAGAGCCCTGCCTATGGATGCTGTATTTATTCTTTGATATGCCTTTTCCACCTCCAAGCACAAATTGGCTTCAGTGGAGAAGCAAGAGGGTCAACACTGAACAATAGAGGGTCCCAGGTCAGAAAGGATGAAGTGTGTAACGAGCTTCTAGGAACACGATCTGCCCACTGAAGAAGGGAACTTTTCCAGGTCTGGAGAGGGGAGGCAGAAAGGTTCCTCTTTAATTACACCACAAATACTTTGCTCAGGGGATCCACTGGAGATTTCTGCCACAGGGCCTGCAGGCTCTACCTTGATAATTTCCTCTATATTCCTAGGGAGAGGATTTAGAGATTCCTGAAAACCTTGAGGCAGGGCCTCTAGTGCATGGTCCCCACTTTCTGTTTTCACAATAGTCCAGTGATAGGTACGATTCTCTGGCAATTCTTCCTGGTCCCCACAATCTGCTTGTAGAGGCCCTGGACTGTGCTCCTCTTTGGGCAAGATAGGAATACTGAGAGGGGATAGTTCCTGGGGTTCCAATTTGGGTTCTCGGCTTTGAAAAGCTTCATTCTCTTCGGGTAAAGGACAAGCAACATCCAGATTTTCTTGAGTCTTATCTTCAAGAGTAGATGGTACATGAAAATTCACAGAGTTGCCAGAACTAATTAAAGGTGGGATGGAAGAAGCCACAAGGGGTTGGTTTAATGGACAGGGAAATGAAGTAGGGTTAACCAAGAGGGTAGCAACAGGAATGGTCTGAGAACTCTGGGCCACTGGTGCATTGACCGGCTGAATCATATTACAGCCAGTACTAAGGCTCAAAACCTTCACAGTGGTGGCTGGAACAGTGAAGATGACAGGTGAGGGTTGGATGAAGGGGGCAGGTTTCAGACAGGGAGGGCTTTTAGCCCCCTTTCTCTTAGAGGGTCTCAGTTCCACATATGTCCTTGGAAACTTGGAAGGTGCAAATGAAGGCACTGTCACCTTGGGCTCAAGGGCTGAGGAAATCAAGAAACTGGTTCTGACTTCAGGCAGTGCCAAAGATGACTTAGAACCATAGCCTCCTCTGACTTCCAGTGTATGGACAGCTGGCACTATCTGGACTGGATGAGCAATATGACCCACCATGTTACTCAGAGGGATTTCTGATTGAGTTGATCTGGATGGCAAGCTCCCAGAGTTGAAGCTAGGCTGGAGAGAAGGGCTGGGTCGGATAAGGAGGGGCTTAAGGTCTGAGGATTGCTTCTGCTTCCAAGCCTTCCGGGAGAAGTATTTGGCAGGTGGCTTCAGTTTAAGAACTACACCCTTAGGCAACAGCAGGGGATATCGAGCTTCACTCCCTAATTCTGAGCTGCCTTCATCTGGTTTGGTCTCGGGTGTTCCAGACACATTTCGTATCCCTTCAGTGATGGATTGAAGTTCCTTCTGGATAGACGGCAAACTGGCCTGTTGGGAACAAAAAGATTAATCCATCACAGGTTGTAATTTTGGGTGTGCTTTTAAAAAAAAAATTAATAGGGCTTTCTATACTTACAGAATCTTTCCAAGTCTCAAGACATCTTTCATGAAAGAATTTTTTGCACAATATAAAAATTTTACTAGAACTACATTATAGTTTTATGCTGTATGTAATCTTCTATGAACTTCCTTTACTAGAACATTACCATTTTATCTACTATTTGTAAAAGATTTTAGAATCCTCTAGTTCAGAGGAGGGACAAGAAAGGTGAAGGAAAGACTTCCTAAGTCCTCCTGAAAGCCACTGGAGTTTCAGCTCAGAATTAGATCCTATTCACAGCAATGAGTAAGACAGATCTAGAACTAAATCATTAGAGGTTTCAGGTAGTCCTTGATATTTCTACAAAGCTAACTTTCTGCCTCCAGCAGACTTTGAAGGGATCTATCTAACAGTCATACCTTTAACCAGAATGGGAGTCGGTGTTCTTCCCTCTCTATTGGTGGCTTCCACTGATGTGGCTGGATTTCTTCACAGCATTTTACCAAGACTGGGAGCTGTTTGGTCTTCTTATACAACTGAGCATGAACAAATAAAGCACAAATTATATTCCTACCAAAAAACAATGACACATGTAAGGCAGGGCATAGGCAAACAGTAGTTATTTTCTTTTTTTACTTATCCACACACAGAGGTACACAGCATATGCTGAACACTTTTGCATTTCCATAAATGAAGCTATCAGAGATTGAATTGTATCCCCCTAAAAATACATGTATATGTTATATACATATAATATATGTATGTATATAAGGGGAAACTTTGTAATAATCCCCCAACAGCTGATAAAACAAACAGTTGTAAAAAGATAAAGGGTGGAATTCAATACTTCTTTTTTTTCCACTGGGATTTTAATGTAAGTTTATAGAGAACTTGGATTTTCATTCATTCATTGTTGCATTTTTCTCCCTGCCCAATTCCCCACCAGTTTGCTTTTCCCTTTGAAAAAAAATATTGGAGATCCAAGATGGCGGCAGAGGCAGAGACAGCGTGGTGAGCAGTGGGAGCAGCAAACCACTTAAAGCAGGGGCATTATGGCCTTCCACAGACTTCGGCTTATTGATAATTGAACACTTAAACAGTTTATGACTGGCCCTCAGTGAAGATTGAGACTCAACAACAGGAATTCAAGGATTCCCAAGGAGAAATGGGCCAAAGAAGACGATTACCTATGCATTGGAAAGGCCAAAGAGGACTATTACCTATGCACTGGACAGGCCAAAGAGGACGATTACCTATGCATTGGACAGGCCAAAGAGGACGATTACCTATGCAATGGATTGCTGAAAGTCACTGTGAGTCTGATGACCTTAACAGTGGCAGCATGCACAAGAGGACGGATATCCTAAATGCACCATATATTTTGTTCTGTTGAATGCTTCTGCCAAAAGATGGTTAGACTTGGGGGTAGTCTATTCACAATTCTCAGGTTCCCTTTATCATATATAAAGGCGGAGGGCAGTGCCACCTACTTCAAAATATAGTATGACAACTTATTGGGGGGTGGGGTAAAAGTGGCAGTGCTGGAATTGGAAAC